GCAGAGACCTGTGCCCCCAACTATTTTTGGATGATAAGTAACAATATTTTATACTACATTTATCCATTTTAAATATACTAACCTCACTCCTTTGTAACAACTAAGGCAAAAATGTAATTAATTCAGAAAATCTTTTCAGGACCCCACCTTGATGTTTCGGGACCCCACTTTGGGTCCCGACCCCAACTTTGGGAAACACTGCTCCAGAGCATCTGAAAAGTCTGTAAATACAGCGAGGAAGTTGCTAAATCAGCACCGCTGTGTTCCACAACCCGCCACCTCTCATGTCAGCGAGCAGCGTGTCGGGTCGATTACGTCACACATTGGAGCGGTCAAATTATCGTACATTATGGGATTTTTGGAATTATTGATCGTACAGAGGGCAAAATTATCGTACAAATACGATAATTATCGCATAACACTAATACATTAAAAAGCTGTAGACCATTCAAACTCTGTATTTAACCTGATTTTGTACAATGAATATGATGTAAATGTTTGTGGTTTATAAACTGATGTTTTTAACTGGTCTTTTAAAGCAAACTGAGAAGGAGGTGTGAAAGTACGATAATTATCGTATTATCGTACAAATACGATAATTATCGTACAAATACAATAATTATCGTACACCTGGCAACACTGAGAAGGTCCCTGAAGGAGCCTTAGGTTGAGCCCTGCCCACCAACGCAAAAACAGTGCCAGCTTGAAACATTGAAAAATGAAACATTGAAAATAGAAAAATTGAAAAGATTTTGAAAACATTGAAAACTTTAAAATGCCAAAATCTTTTCAATGTTTATTTTTTCAATGTTTCATTTTTCAATGTCAAATCTCTTTTTAAATATCAATGTAAGCTGTCACTGGTTGAACTCCACAGGCTCCGCCCCCTCCTCTCACAGAGGAACTGCCAGGGTTCGGCTCGGTTCGAGTCACGCGGAAGGAGAAGAGCACGGGAGGGTCGGCTCATACGGAGACATGGAGGGGACAGGTGGACCGACCGCGTACGGGGCTCCGCTAGCTGGAGGGGGCTTCGACTTTCACAGGTTCATCCGGGAGCCGCAGACCATCGTGCGGCTGCTCAGCTGGGTGAGTTCAGCGGGCTTTTTACGCACAAAGCGGTCAGATAAGAAGCTGCTGACAGGACCAAGTGCTCAACATGTCTTATTTTCCTTTAAATGAGTCGCTTCTTCTTTGTGCGGGCGTCATGTTTCCTGCAGCAGCTGCTGCCTGACCGCAGACAAACTGTCAGATCCTCACTTCCGGGACAACACCACCCACTCACATTTTACTCCTAAATAAACCTCAAACCAGTAGTGTGGGATTTGAATTCAAAAGGGGGAAGTTGAGGAGGCTCACCTGTCACCTGTTGGCAGGCAAAGTTTTGAACTAATCAACATCTCAGAGTCAATTCTTACCCTACATGTTAAACCGCTGATGACTTTGAGAAGAATAAACCAATCTTTAGAGAGTTTATCAGCCAGTGACGTCACCCCTCTGAGATAAAGCTGCTGGGACTGAACCTGCAGCCATAAAGTCTAACAAGTGTGTGTGTGTGTGTGTGTGTGTGTGTGTGTGTGTGTGTGTGTGTGTGTGTGTGTGT